CGCTCTGTAAAATACTGCAATGAGTCTACTGAGCGTCTTATAACCCTCGCTTTAGTCGCCGCCGTCACTGTCATTTTTGTTTTTGTTGACGGCTCTATTTACGCACTATTGAACGTTATGATGCCACTACGATACCGAAGGCGATACCGAGTTGCAGGAACACTATAGACGACAGACGGGGAAAATGAAGTTCGACTAGGCGAGGGTAAGTTATGCCGCCGTAACATCTTCACACGTAGCAGTTTCGTGATAGCGACGTGGATGGATAAACGGACGTGAGAGGCACAGCCGAAGGGCAGAATACGACATGGTGGAAACTCTAAATAGATCTCAACTGACCTGTCACTGCTCCAGTGCTAAAATTTAATAATAAGGTTTTGCTGTTCCTGCTGCGCTGATGGTGCCGAAAGTTCGCGATTGACTACTGCTTCTGATAAAGCCATTCCGTAACTTAAAATATTCAAGCGGCCTTCTACATGCGACTAGCCCCTGTCGCCGCCTATTGGTTGTTGTGATAGTGGCGTGGGTGGTATCTTTGCAGACAAGTAAAATGGGCTCAATCTTGACGTTGCTCACACTCTTTTTATTACGTCCCATAGTCCACCGCAGTATCATACACTCCTCTATGTAGAATCCATACAGAAAGTATGCAAGTACCTTGCAGACCAAGCAACCTGCAACGTACTCTACCATTGCTTCTCTCGCTGCTAAGAAGAACGAGTTTCAGTTTTAGACGGTTTTGCGTAGCCTATTAATTAGTGAGGTCGGCTCGCAAGTCAGGTTGTAGACAGCGCTTCACTCCGCAGCGATTTACGTGGAAGGTGTCCATCTCTAAAAATCAAGGGAGCGCAAAGAGGAAGCATTGAATAAAAAAAAAAGAACGGAAAAAATGTATAGAAAACTGCACGCGTCCATATGTATATATATGGAACCCTAGCAAAATTTGAGTTTGAACAAAGTCTCACCTGGCTGGGTCACGTACGAAACGGAGTGCCAATAGAAATTACAAAGATGACGTGGTAGAGGTCAGTACCAAATTTGGTTTCGCGTAACATACCCTTTTCGGTCATGCTTCTTCCGCCCAGGTGCTGAGTGTGGACTCCGCCGCGTTTGGTAACGACTAGCTTATGAACAATGCAACACGAGTTCCCGCTAAGGTTGCAAAAGGAGGTTGCACAAGGTATGACCTTTTGCTCCGGACGATGTTTGACCAAACATATCACCGTGTGCCCTGTGGCCACTGTCGATACGTCTGCTCTGATGTAGGCCAGGATCATTACATGGTTGATTTTCTTGGCCGTCGGCCTGATCGGTCCTTGGGTTCCTCGTCGTTGTTCGGTGAATCGAACCGTGACGCTATTATCTCTGGCGGCTTACTAAAGCCTTAGCAATCTAAAGCATTAATCTGATAAAAGGGTCAATGACCAAACCTTTAATTGATCAATATCACCGATGTCGTCAATTTCAAATGAAAGATAGCAAGGTCTACTCACTGCATCCATCGTTGCTACTTACGCATTTTCACCTACTTCCGTCTTTTTCCCTATACGCACGTCATACTCAGGCATTCCTTACATATATGCGTAAAAGTGCGCGCCCACCGCTCCAAAGGTGGTTTCATCGATACAATTGTCCTTATCTTATCGTTATCGTAGTTGTGGGCGTACTGCTAGGTGGTTGTTGCCTTACCCATTTTGCTTCAGCGGACTCCGCATGAAATGCCATATCACGGCTATCGCTACAACTATGACGCACAGGCAGGCATTAACGTTGCAGGCACGTATCCGAACGGCGTTTTCTGGCTTTAAGAAAATATGACATTTGAAGGTCGAAAATATCATATGAAGGACGGTAATCGTACTGGGCCCTCTTCCGGTCAACAGTTAAACTAAAGAAGAATTCACCTCTTTGCTTCATTCTATCTTGTGCCTGGACACGATGAGCAGCTGACATTTTTAAAGTCCGTGATCATCAATGAAATAAAGGGCATATGTTTGTTGGAGCTGGGATGTAATCAACAGGAACAGAGAGACAAGAACGAGAAAAAGCAGATGAAGTGACAGCTATAGAATGAATTCATCATAGTTTAATCGGTATGTCTATTCAAATTTGTATACGAGCTAAGTACATTTAGCATCCAGCTTTATATTAACATCAATCCAGTATTGAATGGAACGATAATGATCGTTTAACTATAAAATGGAGGCCTTCGATGCCAAACGCGACGGGTGCAACACGAACTAGAAAATTCTAAAGCAAATGAACCATTTACAGGCACATTAAAATCTATTGAGTAAACAATAACTTAATAGGATTGCTAACGCTAGCCTACATATGTGTAAAGAAAACTTAGCAAAGTCTACTGGAATATTTGGGCTGAGATCTCGTGCTAGGCATCCCTTTGCCCCTACAACGAACCTCTTCATAGCAGAGCATTTATTTAAAGACAGAGCACGTTCAATAAGGGATCTTAGCTGATCTGGTTACTCGACAGATATCTCGTATTTCCTCTGCAAAGGACGATTGTTTCGACTGTTTCCCATAGGACTTTGAAATTCCTTTCGGTAAAGCAAATTGTCAGGCTGAATTTTCGTTAAATCCTTGTCAAAAATACCTAATTAATGTAAAATCTAGACACTGTAAGACCTCACAGTATCAGACGTGTTAACCGAATAGATTTCTCATGATACGCTCAACTGTCCACCCTACAATTGCCATGAAGTTTGGATAATCATTCTATCAATATTTATCAAAACCGTAAAGCAACCACCCTTAATAAAGGAGCTGTTACTCGTGAAGTCCTGTTTTAGACATCACAGTATTAACAGCTATGCAGATCCGGAGTAACCCCACGTCCATATTTTTTATTAGTTCATATTGCCGGGCTTGAGCTTTGTTGCTTCTAGTTTAGCATGTTATCTCAGAAGCAGCAACTGCGGTAATCGACTAAGCCTATCTAATTCCCACATGTAGCGCTAGTGATTAATTTTGCACTGCAATTTCGTAGCGCATTTGGCTACGCTTACTACGTCAAGAAGTCCTTGGATCCCACTTGCTATGGTGATTCGCGCTAACTTTAGTTGAAGCTCGCTGAAGAAACTTATGAAACGCTACAGGATCTATGTGCCATTTGCCAACTCTGAAACCAGCGATGATCGCACGTTTACAACTATCATAGCAACGCACTCGAAGAAGTACGCATTACGTTCCGATTACGTAGTTGTTTGTCGGTGTACTGTTTTGGTGTGGGTATTGAACGTCAGTAATTTGGCGGAAAACCCAGGAATGTTGTCTAGTTCAAGCATTGAACTTGTCTGGTCTAGCAGCTCACTTGACAGTGACTTGCAGTTGGCAGGCCATCACACAAACACAACTGGGTTATTCGTGAAACTTCCTAGTCTCCCATGCCATCTTCCATACATCTGCTGGGTTTCTAGCCATCTATTATGATCAGTGCACGGACAACAAGTACGAACGACAAACCCTTGTTCAAGCTCAAGCAGCGATCCTGAGCTGAGACAAAAAAACTACAATATTCCGTTCATAGCGTGCTAAATGCCAGCACGCAATGAAGGGCTGCGTGGACAATGGCAGGACAGCAAAAGGTCTCTAATTGAATTAGCCTAAAGATCTCACTTTGCTACTCACATCGCAGGCGCACCTTCATTTTGCCAACTAAATATTATATATATGTATATGTATTTACATACACACATGTACGATATATGGACCAAATATTGCATTTTGACAGGACTAAGGAGCGAGAAAAATTACCGTTGCGAAAAAGGGGACAGCATTGATTACTTCGTCTATTGGCCGGCTCTCGTTAGCTGCAGCACTAATCTATTTGCAGTAACACCATCACTCATGTCAATGCCTTGTAGGACGCTTGCGGGCTTCATTATGATCGTAAATAGGATGCCAAAAAGCAATGGCAGAATATATTACAAAGTCTACTATTAGATTTTCTGTAGAGGACTACGACCGACAAGTTTCCACTAACCAACGAGATGGCGGACAGGTACGGTCTCTGATGTGAGATTTAAGGAGATGGTAAGTGAGACGGAAATACATGACAGAAAGGAGTCGTTTTCCCTTCATGCTGATGCTATAATAGATGGAACGGTGGCCAGTGCTTGGAGACCTCAGCGATGTAACAGTTGAAAGATGTTGACACCCGTCTCGACACGTCTGCCAGCTACCAAACGGTTCACCATTGTTTACACGCGTACACTCACGCAGTGATCACGCGTACACTCACGCAGTGATCCAAATGGAAGTTTTTCTGTTTACACATGCTCTTAGATCTTCGTAAAATTGTCAGTGTGCTAACAGCGTTATCACTGACCTCGTTATTCGGAGGAGCAGTTTACGAAAGAGACACTTGCCTCATTTTTCTTAGACGAAATAATCTCTCGTTTGATGATCGTAACTTTGGAAGTTAATTAAATTACTATTGAATATCAAATGAGGCACTTGGTATTTTTGTCTTTCAAGGGCAACAAAACTATAAAGGATCTATGACCCCATACGTAAACCAGTGTACAGGCGTACATCGTTAAATTCTTGTACCATTCTAGACCATCAAAGTACAGACGTGCCATCTGCAAGACATAGCCATCATCCAGTATTTCAAGAGAGACATATTAGACGAATTACAGCGATGCTTTAGAAAGCACGAAAAACTTTCATAGAAATATTGCAGAATTCAATTTGTATAAATACGGTATTCCTCAGTTTTCTCTTCGCGTATACCGCGTTACGTCCTATGAAATCAGTAGAATAAAAATCCATATTTATGTGAAAATTCTATGTTCGAAGTCATCGAGCTACAACGAAATAATACACTTCGAAGTAATTCCAGTCAACAGCTGTATCACGATAGACTATCGTAGGCCCCACGTATTGATATAACTGGACACCGCATAAGTGGCACACGCAAGCTTGACACGAATCAACTCCTGAACTTACTATGTGATCGAATCATTATCACAACTTACCTTTAGTTTATCCGCAGAGTCCGTACTGAAGCCATTCCGGTACTCATAGACAGCCAGTTCGTTGTTGTTTATATTGGCCCGGTGATATCCTTAAGATGCTTGGGAAAATAATGTCATAAGCAGGACAAGCCGAGGACGCATATTATTCAATAGATAGAAGTAGAATTGACTATAACTAGTAGGCTGGAAACTGTGATCGTGTAATACTCCTTTAAGTGACTAGAGAGAAGCAGTACCGTTACAGCATTATTCTACTTGGCATGTTTTTCTTTCCATTCGTAAGAGGAAACGCTTTATCGTCGTCTTCACACTCTGACCGTTAATCAGTTCTACCCAGCTGCGTTTGTCTTCCCGACCAATACAGCGTCCAGCTGTACGACAGTGGACTTAGAAGCACATGGCTCTAGGCCAATGTTAGTGAGATCCACACCTGCTTCACTCACCGACTCACTCTATGCATTCTGTTGTGTAGAGCGGTATCTCACTAGTTGAAGGTGGGGGTAATGGGTGACATCGGGTTGCTGTTCCCTCCTCCTATTTTCTTCCGCTGAGGCGAATCTTCGAGCCCAGCTCGCGTGGCACGCAGCGCTGTCATTAGTCAGACAGCGAACCTTTCTTTGGCCATTATATCCCGACGGGTTCGTCGGCATGTATGGCTTTTCACACCGCACGGCCACTGTACCCCAGATGACCGCGGCAATAACGATTACGACGATGCCGACAGCAGACCAAACCGCTGGCCACGCCAATCAGGACACACGTCACATCAGACTACGAAACCGACCGGGATTAGCCGGTCTGGTGTCTGTCCCGCGCATTACTACACCGCATTAAATGGCTATTGATGCCGTAGCCGATAACACACTGCAGTCGCACAGAACGCTCCAAGCCGCTCTGCTTACGTACGTAGCATCTACTGTGACAAACGAACGAATCAACAACGAGAACACGACGAGCCTGCTCCTATATCGACTTATATATTTCTTGTAAATGCATATTTATGTATGTACACATAGCTAGCTGGTTGGTTCTATGGACGAAGTTTCTCTAGCGGTGCTAGCGAACGGAGCGGCAGACTAGCCGGAATGAACACAGCCGAGGCCCGTCTGCGCGGTGAGTGCAGGGCAGCTAGCTAAGCGCGCGTGAGTTTGGCTGTCTGCTGCTGCCGCTGCTACTACTGCCCATGAGAGAAGGCTATACGAGGCGGGCGGGCGGGCGATAGCCGCGGTCTCTCTCCCGCTGTTGCTGCGCACTGGTGGAAGGAAGGGCCACGGGGGCACAGGACTGGGCAAAAAGGGCTCCGGCTGTGGAGGAGGTCACCCGCGGCAGCGGTTGGCTCTTGACTTGCCGTCCTCTCGCCTCCCTTCCCACTGCTTCCTCAATCGCTTTGCAATCGAGACATACACATACAGGCAGGCAGGCAGGCAGGCAGATTACCCAACACACACACGGAGAAAACATGAACACACGAACGTACAGGGTGAAACAGCAGACACCGGCGCCTTTACCTATGCTATCCTACAGAGCTTTACTCGTTGTGTTGTGGCTGCCTCATCCACAAATGTGCACAACCATAAGCTTGCAGGAAAAAAAGCAGCTCTGCGATCATCCTTTCTGGAAGGGCAGAAGGTCTCCTTGACTTCGTACTGTTTGTATTGGAGTATGTGTTTCCAATGGAGAAACTACACAATCGTTGAGCCGATGCAGAGCACGGTAGAGGTCACGAACCATCGTAGAGCGAACGCATCTTCTGAAGTTTATAACCGTTTTTCAAAATTTCCTCTCAGACACTGCCGTCGCACGATAGAATATCGTACGCAATAGCTACGCGCGTTCGATTCAACACAGAATCGCAAGAAATCACCGTCGCGACCAAAAGCCCCTGACATGCAATACTATCTAGCTTATCTATTCTCGACTACACAACTGACGGTACTGGGGGCGATACTGTTAATAGGCCATCGGCAAAATTTTGTCGAGTCCTCCTTTTTTGTAATACGTTTCACATGAGAATCAACTCCTCTTCGGGCATTCATGCTTGGCTTAGCTGACTTGTTCGCTTGGCGACCATACCTTCTTGCAGTCTCGGAAGGACTAAGGAATGTTTGTCGAAGGATGAGGCTGTTTCATATTATGGAGAACGACAGATAGGTGAAGAAGAAAAGGGTAGAAGCTATGGACGTGGCGGTAACAGTTGCGGAAACGGCGATAGTAATGGTAGAGTCGCAAGATGACGAAGCACGTGTTGTGCACTTTTCTCAAGCCTTTGGCTTACCGTTAACTGAAAGCAGTGAATATAACTAGTGTTCAATGGATCTCTTAGCCGAAACGTTTTTACATCAGTTGCCCCTACACGGTACGTAAGAGTCTCTCTTGCCCGCTGGATCGGGCTCGCGCTCAGCAGCTTTCGGGAAAAATGTCGACTTCTGCTTAGATAAGATCATAGTTGCTTAGGATGGTTACATTCACTGGCCACAGCGATCGGTCGAAACAGTGACGAACGTCGTTGTAGCTCAAGAAAACAGAAATATTTGCTAATGAAAAAAAGTTTACTACATATTAGGCTAGTTCTTTTGGCATATGTCATTGTGGTCCTGCTGTCGCTTCTTGAGCTAGCAGCTCAAGCTTGACTTCGTTTGCGTGCCCGTTGTTTTGGTTGAAGCCGAGACACGCCGATGTGAAGCCGAGCATTAAAACGTGAATAAAATATCGAAAAGCCTTTATGAATCCTTTCTAGCAAAAGGAAAAACAGAAGCCCTCGCATCTAAACTGACATGATTCGCGTTATCAGATATTCTGATCTGCTTTTTTGCCACAGATTTGATCTTTGTTTGTCCTACTGGTCGCTCGCTACTTTCTTGGTTATCAAGTGAGCTTTGGCACTTCGAATCAGACATGCATTCCTGCACTTTAATTAACCATTCGTTCCGTATAGGCCTCTGATTGTGTTTAAATTGAAGTTGGGTTCCATGGATGTGGGCATGGGCAAAAACCCCATTTCCGAACGTCTTTTTCCACCTTTCGCGCAAGGGAAAATTTTCAAAGCAGCTTGACTTGTTTATTCAATGTACAGAGAATACTTCTCAACTACGCAACGTAGCCTGGTCTAACAATTGTATTATAGCTGGCTTACGGCGGGTCTTCTAAAACCCAAAAACCTGTTTTGTGTTCTTTAAATAGAGATATGGAACTTTTGAATAGTATTATCAGATATATAACAGTTGCTGTACATAGCCCATTTATCTTGGGTTGCCTTTTTACGTCGACCAAATCCAAGAAGCAACATGACGAGAACGCTAATCCTAACACGCGAGGTACCCATTTGTAAAACCCAGACGCAAAATAGGACCCTGCGATTCAGTTAAAACGACTGCAACGGGTCTGCAGAGCAAAGGAGTGATGTAAAGCATTCAGCTTTGAGTTAACTATAAGTTGGAAAAAGAGCAATTCATCTAAAACTTTGACATTTTGACAACTTAACATAACTCTATTTATCAGTACGTTTTTGAAATGGTCACGAACAGAAAAGTAACCAGAGAAAACATACATAATTCAGTGTAGATTTTGGGTATCATTAGAATAGCGCAATTAATATCGATTTAAAAAATAGCTCCAGAGACAAAGTTATTAAGAAAGGATTTTTTTTATTTATTCTTATTGGCCAGCGAACTTCAAATTTCACTTTAATTTGCTGGCAAGTTTTTTTAGAAAAATGAAAACGAAAATGGTAGATTTAAAAAGCGAATGATATTAAAATTAGATCCGAGACAAATATTTTGCATCGAATAATTAATATAGGCTTTATACATCAAACCAATGATAGTTTAAATTGAATCAAGTTTCAGTTATTCACTTTTGCTGGCAGTAGTTAAAAACTTCATATATATATATATATAGATCAACGATACAAAATCCCAATATCAGAGCGCGTATATGAAGCCATCTAAAATCCTTTAAAACACTTCGCGTTATATAAATTATACGAGTTTTTTTTTGAGTTTATAAAGCAATATCCTACATGTCATAAAGATGGTATTCGGGGCCAGCAAGTGACACTAGCGCACTTTTCACCGCATCTGCAGCATCTACATGTTTCATCAGGCTTGTGGGACCCCGATGTCCTGCAAAGTCTATGGTGGAACTTCAGTTCGGTCAGCATAAGCATAACTTTGTCCCTGAGCGCTGAATCGAACGCCATTTTGGATTCGATGAATAGAGCGAATCGCACAACAAGGCCAGCAGCTTCTTGACATTGGTCATCAAGGGCCTGCGCGCCTTTTCCGTACAACGGTATGTCTAAAGCCCGTGTAGCTTCGTGAGAATTGCGTGTGCGGTTTTTTGACTTAGCTGTCCATCGCGGTTTAGTCGACTCTCCCTTTAGGGATCACTAACGGTGTAACATTCCTTCACTGGGCTAGGAGTGTAGCACTATCTAGACACTATATCGTTTAGCGCCATGCCAGAACGATGGCCCATTTGAAACCGTTGTTGCAGACGCTTTCAGACCAGAAACTTGTTGTGTAGATTTCTAAGGGCTTGCATCAGTTTCTGCACTGTGAAGTTCTGCTGAAAGGTATCGCGTTGCATCGAGGTCCCCTTTTCTCACGTCTGACATCGTATCCCTAAACGCAAACATTTTTGAAGAATGATTTATTGGGGCTCAAGAAGATGCCCACGCAAGCCGGCAAGCTGCCTTGCTACGTCAGTTACTTGTATTGATGACGCTTTGCGTCAGCCATTAAACGGGCCTCCAGTTATTTTCCAGTTGTAAAAAACAGAGACTAAACAGTAGAACTAGCGCCTAACCACGACCATAAGTCTAAAGGCCATCCAGGTCCTTTAGACAAAGCCTGAAGTGTGATTGAACCGCGGCCTGCGCTTTCAAGGTTAACGGAAGTGCTGTACTGTAGGCCGGGAAACTTTGACCACATAAGTTTTAGTATTCAGGTACAGCGAGAACTTCGTGGTGCATTCCAAGAACTTGTCTACGTTTGGGCGTCGCGACAGACCATGCAACTTGGATAACGAGGTCTATCATTGTTGGCGCTCGTGGCAGAACACGAGAGCTGGCGTTTGCCGACGGTGGGTGATTACTATCCTAAAATCTCACTCTACCTCTGGTTACATTCATCGCAGATGTAGCGATACAATTTTGTGTGCGTTTTAGGGAGGTCTGTGTCGAGGCTAAATTGACTTTGAAAATGGAGGAGAGCGTCTTGAAAGGCCATCGTCTGGTTCGAGTCCGGATTGTCGAGGCGGACGTTGAAATCGCCGATAATGACTAGCAAGTAGACAGAACAGCGTTTCCAGTCCACTGATAAGTCACTCCACTATCAGCCGATCGAACGTAGGTCGCTACGTTTTTATCATTAGTCGCTGGTCACGTAAGACAATGACATTATTCTCTACTAGGCACGGCGTGAAGTCGCCTGACTTATAATTGTAAAAGACGGAGATGCCTCCGTCAAAGCGGTCCGCTACTTCGTTGCTGTTCAGTGGAAAGCAATCCACTGAATAAAGTTAGATAAAGCGAGTTGTTTGAATTTTCGTTAACACGGGGGTATCTATACTATCTGGGGCATCCAGTAAAAGGAACACCAGAGCTGCAAGCCGTCATAGTTCTACTATGTAATTCTTAGCGGCTTCTGAAGGTCTGGCTTCGCCGCAAGCTGTGAGCGGCTACAGTAAGTTAATGTGTCGCATATAGGAGTCTGCTGTTAAGTCGTCAATGCTGGCAGAATTTGCTTGATTTTTATAAAATTAGTAACCGTCAGACATATAGTGAATATGATACGTTCCTATACGCACATTGGAAAAGAGACAAACATGAGCATTGTGGTGTATTGTGTTAATGACTCTTTATTTCGCATGCTAAATGTTTACTTCGGAAAACTCAGCCAATCATTAAACACACGATCCTTCAATGCCATATGTGAACTTCCTTTTGCGATTCACGCGGCACGAACCAAAGGAACTCTCACACTGTTGTTATGAGCTATTTCGTATACCATCAGAGATGCAGATTTCCCCACCATATTTTATCCATGATAAAGTATTGATTAACTGCATAGGCGAGAGTATATATTTAAGTAACATATATATTATAGTTCATGTCACGTTATACGTACTATAAGTATTTATTTATA